AACGCGCGGGTTTCCTGATTCTCAATTTCCTCGTTTCTCGAAAAGCGTTGATTATTGTTTCAGTGTATCATTTACCTAATACATCTTACTGCTTTAGTAATGTAAAGAGAAACGCGATGTTTGGATACTACCTTGTTAAACCTACCATTGGTATCGTGTGATGTTAAGCAAGAGCGAAAATCACAAAACTTTGGAGATGGCTTTAAATAATGTACTGTAAAACATACGTCTGCAATTTTTGTGATTGAATAAGCATGACCACGAATGAGGCCGTTGCTTTGGCGCGCTTCGACAACATTTGGATCGGCGTTTATGGAACAGGCCATCAGAGACTTTCTGGTATAGCAGTGATGCAAGATTTGCTCGAGATCAGCCGGCTGCTTTCCGCGTAGGTCGTAGAATTCAGCCAGACCACCAGTGAAGTCTTCCAACGCCTCTACCGTGCTGCCGCCCTTAAGGGCCTCATAAGAGCCAAAGAGTCTAAAAATTAGGTAATATGATTTTCGTAAAAAGAAAAGCCGAAACTTAATTAGATGAAGAGTATGCGTCTGTACAAAAAGAAGAGTTGAATGAAGACGTTGGAAGAGTAAGTGATTAATCCAGTGTGACATAGGAGTTACAACGCGTGGAAAATGAATATCAAAGACCTTTCAAATAGTTTGGTTATAAATAAGGCTGGCATTTTTTAACTGCGTTCTAAAATATGTGCCTGAAAAATGATATTTTTAGCCGTCCATCCTGTAGCTCAAGAGGGAAGTGAACATGGTTCTACAGTACAATAGATAGCAATAGATAGGATTTACTATGCCAAGTAGAGCACGAATCCACGGTTCAAATAGTAGAGCTCTTGGTTCAGATACAAAGTAAGTTCGGGTTTAAACCTCGGGTCATCCCGACCTGCAATCAAAACATGGATGTCTGACGAAGGAGTTAAAGTCATCAGTTAACACTTAATTGTCCCGTAATTCCCTCTTCTTCGACGGCTTATTATTACGCGGTCGCCTGTGTAGGTTCGGAGCCAGAAGCCAGATGGCAAGCTGAAAGCTTTCATTCCGCCTTGCGCGGTTAGGTCGGCGAACGCCATTCTAACGTAATTCGCCTGTGCATTTATAGTTCTAATCTGTTGCATGGGCTTGCAATTCAAACAAAAGAAACTGCTAGTTAAACTATCAAATAACCCCAGATTGAAAATCAAGCGAGTCTCGGTTTGTAAGAAAAGTGTGGCTGGCCGATGATTGCAATTAGTAAATTAATAAGCTGAGCATGTCCTTCAAACAGTTTTACGAAAGGGAATATGATCATTTAAGTCGTATGCAAAGGCTTTGCAATAAGACACAGGATGCTGTCGGGTCTACTTATTTAAGCATGGAGAATAGTGTGCTAGGAGGAGGCATGAAAGCTGGTATAGGAGTGAGAGCGTACAAAAGTGTGAATTGTGAGTAAAATGCGCTCGGTTTACTGTTGGTTAGACTTTGTACGTAGTTAAGGGTTCCGCTTCCGTTCGCACATACGCACTTAGTGAAGCAAAGAGGATAGATGTGTTTCACTAGAAAACGAGAATACTTCAGACTAGCTCACTTTAAAAGCATTATTTATTAAGCAAAGGCAAACATACTTAGCGTATGCTTTTTCTAACAGTGCAGACCAGTATTCATTTTTGTCATGCGAGTGCAGGAAGACGAGTCGGTTGTTTCGCGTAGGCAGGCGATCATCTATAACAACTTCAACCCATTCGCCAAAATGCCAAAAATGGAAACGGAAAAGGCCACAATATTCGTTATCGAAAGTCTGGTCGTGTGGCACCACCTGTTCCAACAGGTCTGGGTACAGAGAAAGGTTTGCGACTGCTGCGAGAAGCCAGCAATCACCTGTA